CCCCAAAACCCCAAAACCCCAAAACCCCAAAACCCCTCAAAATCAATTAAAAATTTAAAATAAATAAAGATCACTTCCCTGCTGAATCCCCACTTGTTTTATAGTCTTGTAGACTGATTTTAGTTCAGTGTTGTTGAAGTAGAGTTTTTGGGTGTCGTCTTTGAGGATGTTTTGGTCGTGGAGGGTTTCTTTTAGGGATTTGATGGTTTCTTCTGGTCTTATCTCAGTGGTTAGGATTTTGTTGTTGGGGAGGTTGATTCTGAGGGTTATTTTAGGGTCTTCGAGATACAGAATGTCTCCTTGAGTGTAGTTGTAAGAGAGGAGGGTTCTTCGGTCGTTTAGAGGAGTATTATGTAGGATAAGTATCTTATCAGTAACAGGATTATTAAATGTGCTGGAAATCTTGTTTTTTATATGATAAACAGTGGCTTCTAAGGCCACTTTGATGTTATATTTGATTCCATCATCTGTATGAATGCTTAGAGTTGTAAGCTCTCCCAAAGCAGAGGGCTTAATGGAGAGTTTTAACACACTATTTGTCTGAATTTTGTAGTCATTAACTAAATTTTTGTCTTGCAATTCTGTCAGGAGGAAGGTTAATTTTTGGTCCTTCGTTGGAATATTATGGATTTTGAAGATCTTGTGTTTTATGATCGAAATTGGATCCGTCTGTGAAACTTTCATGGAAAGAGTTTCATCTCCAGGTAATTTTATTAAGATTTTAATTCTTTTCGGTAGAATTTCAGCCTGAGAGAAAATAGTAGAAGATTTTAATATTTTCTTCTTGGTTTTTCTATCTCTTCTACCTTTCACACCTCTCGATCTGACTTTACCCAACTTCTCATACTTCACTCTAAGCTCAGCATACTTATTCCTCAACTCTTCACTTTCCCTTAACTTCATCCTAATCTCCTCATATTCTGGAAGGGTATAAATCACACTCACTAAATCAAGCTCTAAATTTTCCGAATCCTCTGGATCTTCAATCTGGTTGACCTCTTCAATCAGTTGTACATATACAGTCCTCATTTCAGCTTCCAAGTCTCTATTTCAAGGTGGGTTCTCAATGTCCCCGATTAAAACATCAACTCTTGAAGAAGCCTGCTGGATTTCTTGCGCATTCTGGTCACTAATTTTTTCGAAAATGTGGGTAATTTCTTGGACTCATCGGTTGTGCTGTTCTATGTGGGCTTGGTAATTTTTGAGAGCTTGGTCGTAGCATTTTTGGGAAATGAAGTTCTTTTTGTATTCGAGGTAGAGAGAGTTTTGGGATATCAGTTGTCTTCATTTATTAAGTTTGTGGTTCAAGTTCTTCTTAAGTTTGATGAAGTCTATCATTACCTGGTGGCCACTCATTTCTGCACAATCTCTACATAAGAATTTGTTGTCCTTCGTGCACACTTGTACTGAGTCCATGCCGCAAGGGCACCTGGCTGAAGGATTGTGCTGGATGGGATCTTTGGAGTGGGAGCTTGGGAAGGGAATTTGGCTGAGGTTTATGTGTAAGGGTCTTTGCATTGGGGTTGAGGGGGAGGGAGGGAGAGGTAGGGAGAGGTGTGTGCTTGCTGAGCGTGGTTGAGGGGATTGAAAGTGGTTGAGGGGGTTATGGGGGAAGTGTTTGGGGTGGTTTAGAGGGTGGAAATTGTGTTATTTAAGCGTTTAATGTAAGCTTTAGTGATATTTCCTTGGCCTTTTAATACTCTAAATATTCCTTTATTCACTTACATAAATTATTGTCACTTCTTTATTTCTTTTCCTTAATCTTATCTCTGCCTCATCATTTATTCCATACTCAACAATTCAGCACTTGTCAATAATATATCTTTCTTTCTAAGTCACCAACCAATGGAATTTTTCTAAACTTTCAATAATATATAAAAATAATGGGGTTTTGGGGTTTTGGGGTTTTGGGG